CACCAGCACTGAGTGAGTGCACAGGTCAGCCGTGCACACAACACCAGCACTGAGTCAGTGCACAGGTCAGCCGTCAATATTCATTTAACCAATTTTCTCATTTCACGATTTTTCACTATATTTTAATTTACATTATTACGTATATTTTAAACCTACTTTACTATATAAATGTTTAAGCAGTCTGAGCGAGTATGAAGCTCCCTCTCGCTCGCGGTATCAAGCGGAACACACTATTATATCCAGTAGGTCGAGGTCATCAATGTAATTTACGGCATGATATAAGAATATTTATTGTCTTAAGCTACACTTCCCATTCTTTATATCTCTATGATTCTCTCTCTCTCTCTTCCTCATCTCTCTCTATCCTCACATGAGGAAAAATGTACATAAATCATATTCCAAAGGAGAGTAGACAATTACCTAGACTCCTTAATGGCTTGTAATGACTGGTAAAGACAGTTTGGCATCATTAAGGAGTCTGGCACCACCTGTAGGTGTTGGAGTTATTTATCACGGAGTCAGTGTAATTGGTCTGGTGCTGCGACCTGCTGCCATTATGCTTGATCATTACCACCGACGCCAGGGTATAGGCCCTCTCAAGCAACGATTTATTATGTGCTTGTCGGAAAGAGCTATTACAAGGCTCCCTTGACCTGATTGATTAATGCCTAAGGACGTGAGTCCTGGCTTGTGCTTGTAACTGGACTTTTCTGAGTGGTAACATATATACATAATACATACACATGCACTCTCAAAGCATGAACATACACACACATGCTGCCTGTAATATCTTGAAAATACCTGGCTGTAATATCTTGAAAATTACCTGATTGTATAAGGGAGTACAGATCAGATAGGGTCCAGGCGGTCAATATGGATAGGATTGGGGGGTACAATTGGGTATCTACAATGGATCAGTACCAGTGATCATTCTATTCCTAAGCACGCAAAAGACTTGACCGGAAATAAGCTCATTCATATCATTGTTTGCAGACGACGCAAGGCCAATGAGCAGAATAATATCAGATGAGGACTGCTGATGCTTGCATGATGCTTGAGAGATGATATACAAAACAGTTATTTGTTTATAACATTAACAATTGTTAGGTCTTGAGCGTTGAAGCAGGAGTAGAAATACATCTGAAACATTAAACAGCCCAGAAATTATCACCCATTAAAAAGATCTAGAACAACACATTATTCAGACTAACGAAAGCAGTGCATCCCAAGCTGCCAGACCTCCGCATGGACACAATCTTGCTAAGCTTTCAGAACATTAAATCACTTACATGAGACCTATCTTCGAATATGCAGCCTCAGTTTGAAATCTCAAAGTAAAAAAATAAAATTGTAACAAATTAGGAAAACTGAACAAATTGTTGTTTACGTTGTATAGTGTTGTGACAAGTTGTGTCAAGTTTAACATATTGTTGAACAAGTAGTGTAGTGTAGTGCAGTGTAGTGTAGTGTAGTGTAGTGTAGTGTAGTGTAGTGTAGTGTTGTGTTAAGAGAATTGTGTGTGTGTGTGTCAAGGCTCGATCCTGGCCAGAGGCAAAGAATCAACGACAAGATGCTGAACATAAGAACATGAAGAATAAAGGTAACTGAAGAAGGCCTATTGGTCCACACGAGGCAGCTTCAATTGGTCCACACGAGGCAGCTCCAATTGGTCCACACGAGGCAGCTCCAATTGGTCCACACGAGGCAGCTCCAATTGGTCCACACGAGGAAGCTCCAATTGGTCCACACGAGGAAGCTCCAATTGGTCCACACGAGGTAGCTCCAATTGGTCCACACGAGGCAGCTCCAATTGGTCCACACCAGGCAGCTTCAATTGGTCCACACGAGGCAGCTCCAATTGGTCCACACGAGGCAGCTTCAATTTATAGCCATCCAATTTCATTCATATATATGTCTAACCTACACCTGAAAGTCTGCTGATGGAACCAGCCTTCATTATACCGCTGGTATGGATAATACGGAGAGATAATAAATAATGCAAACATATAATGATTACAGTTAACCAAGAGAATAGAAATGGAATCTAGAATAGGCGACACACTTTAGGGTACTGTGAACGTTAAGGAACACACTTTACGGTACAGTGAACGTTAAGGAACACACTTTACGGTACAGTGAACGTTAGGGAACACACTTTACGGTACAATGGACGTTAGGGAACACTTTACGGTATAGTGAACGCTAGGGAGCACACTTTACGGTACAGTGAACGCTAGGGAACACACTTTACGGTACAGTGAACGTTAGGGAACACACTTTACGGTACAGTGAACGTTAAGGAACACATTTCACGGTACAGTGAACGCTCTGGGACACCTCACGGTACAATGAACGCTAGGGGAGGGGACGCTTCACGAAACAGTACACGCCGTCGTCAACACATTACAGTAATCTTGCCGCATTGAAGATTCTTGGAAACACATTACTCGGCACAAAGCATGCTGAAAAATAATAATGAAAACAAACGGTGACATATCTTTCCATCCTCTCCAAGGATTCGAACCTAGACCCGCTTGCTTGGAGGGGGCGAGTGTCCTAACCCACTCAACCACATGGTTGTCTCACAAATACACTTTGAAACCCAGCAACTTTCAGTGATAACAGTAATATCAAGAACCGCATTCCACTCACTATTTACAGATAATTGAGTGTATAAAGGATATATATTTTGCAATTATCTCGGTAACCACAACACGGTAGTAGGTTAATTGAGGAAAATGACAGCGGGTGTAAAGTGAAAATTCCAAGCTCAACGCACGCCTGAGGGGAGGGAAGTTCTGTTACACTCTGACACTCCAACGTCTCAGGAGAAACGAATAAGTGCATACTATGAATATCAAGACTATTAGAACAAACTTAATGGTTGTTGTTGTTAAAGATTCGCTACCTGCAACAAAAAGTTCCAAGTAGCACGGGCTATGGTGAGCCCGTAGTGTTTTTAAACTTAATGGTGAGTCAGTAAAGCAGTGAAGATGAGTGTATAAGGAGCCTGGATGATGAACATGAGAGTGTGCAGCTGGAGGGTGGGTAAGCAGCTGGTGGGCAGCTGGGCCATATGACCACCTTCCCCGTGTATTATGGAACGTAACAACAGCACTAATGGAGACGAGTAATGACCCCCAAGGAGGAAAAGTCAAAAGTGTTCTGCTGACTGATGTTCTTGGCTTAATTTGCTTTCCAATATCATGTACTTTCACAAGGCAGTTAGTCCTCGTGGTAGGGTTTTCTTACTTGCTTGGAGAGTTTATGATATCTAAATGGCTTTAAACAAATGGTTTTCTAATGGTTCCCCTCTCAAGAAGATATCGGGGTCACACTACCAAGAGGAGCTCGAGGAAAGCCACATACTGCATTCACTCGCTTGCTTGCTTACTTACTCACTCGGAAGAGACTAGGTCACTCTAGATGACCTTGCAAGGGGCTAGACCACATTAAATGACCCTGGAAGGGGTGGAAGGGATAACCGGAGACATCTTCCTTCCTGCCAAGCTCAACCTCTGGTCAATAATTCAACTACGTTCCGGTGATGTTGGTTAGAGTAAAAAACTAGAGCAAACCAAATAGATGGACAGGAGAAAAAGACGTAATATTGTGATGTAAGCAATAGTATATATAAAAATGCCTGTACATTTACTAATAAATTTAAAGAAGAATTTAAAGAAGATTCTTAATCTTAAAATGATTAAAAATCAGAAAGACTGGAATCATTGCACCAGACAACTGAGAGGTGGGGACCAGGAACCAGAAATCGATCCCCACAAAACATTCGGATATCGGTCCTTGCAACTCAGCTTGAGATCGATTCCTGCAACTTAGCTTAAGGTCGATCCCTGCAACTTAGCTTAAGGTCGATCCCTGTGTGAACCGACCTGTGAGATTTATATTTATTTAATTTATATGAATTTATATTTACGTTAATTTATATACTTCGATAGCAATTTGTATAATGATAAGTGGACTGTATTTCTGCAATAATCTCATAATCTCACAAATCGATCCTCTACACATTAGGGGGGTTTATATTTATATATATGCAGCCAATCAAACTACAGTATTAACTACATACATTGAAAAGGTTCCTTATCTTATAGTACAGCAGGTTAGTCCACCAGGTATAACTAGGGTGTAGACACCAAATTATCCTCTTTGAGGTAGCTTCCATCACCCAGTAACTGGTGCACAAAATCTTGCTTCCTCGTCTTGACCTTTAGTTTGAGGCTTCCACGTGCTCTAACCGGGACACCCTATATAATGACATTAATGGCCATAAATGAAGATACATGGGTTTCGGAAAGAACACTTAACTTGAATTTGTTGACAGCGTGTGATAATGGTACACCACTGGTTTCCATAACACTTCGTCCAAGTAAAATTAACAGGAGCCGTATTTGCTCCTGTGAGCCTCTGGTCTAGTCTCAACAATGGCTGCGTCTAACACTCCATACTATTGACGCCTGGCCGACATTGTCCAGATATGATAGGAGCCGAATTTGCTCCACGCGTCTCGGATGTGACACAACAATGGCTGCCCTCCTTCCTCACTGACGCCTGGCCTACATTGTCCAAATGTCAGAAAGTGATAGAAGGGTCACATTTACTCTACTTTAATATTGATAATTAAGTTAATTTATATGAGATGTTTTATGATGGTAAAGTCCAAAGACTAATGTATTTAAGAATAATTCCCAGCAGAATAGCTGGTGAATTATAATAGTACGTGGTGATGATATCCCGTTTTCTTTAGACGGTAATTCCACTACAAGTTACGTTTTCTATGGGTAACTTGTTTATACAATACAGCTATTATCTGTATGATATTAAATGGTGTCGGATTTTCCGACAATCCCTGCAACACAAATTGTTAAGAAAGCCCATACGGCCCGACCCTCGAGACCTCAGAATCAACGAATACAATTCATTATCTTAACAAAGGCCATACAGGTATTCCGTGTGTTTGGAGTCATCTGTCAGTCTCACTGTTATTGTTTAAAACTTGACTGAGCAAGATCCAGAGGTGCATTGTGCTTGTACTGAGCAAGATACAGAGGTGCATTGTGCTTGTACTGAGCAAGATCCAGAGGTGCATTGTGATTGTACTGAGCAAGATACAGAGGTGCATTGTGCTTGTACTGAGCAAGATCCAGAGGTGCATTGTGATTGTACTGAGCAAGATCCAGAGGTGCATTGTGATTGTACTGAGCAAGATCCAGAGGTGCATTGTACTTGTACTGAGCAAGATACAGAGGTGCATTGTGCTTGTACTGAGCAAGATCCAGAGGTGCATTGTGCTTGTACTGAGCAAGATCCAGAGGGGCATTGTGCTTGTACTGAGCAAGATCCAGAGGTGCATTGTGCTTGTACTGAGCAAGATACAGAGGTGCATTGTGCTTGTACTGAGCAAGATCCAGAGGTGCATTGTGCTGGTATTCGGCCATGAGACATTATTACCTGCGTATTAATTCCAGATAGTTTACCTGAGACTTTGTTCTGAGGTTTGTAAGTTGAAATGACGACTTCGTTAACGCGAGTGAGATAGAGCAGGCGTCGTAACACCCGGCCACCCGACACTCCGGAATAGTCGCTACCATCTATTTTTTTTCATCCCCTCTAACTATTTACTCTCCTTCTTTTTACTCTTTCTGGTATGAATCTCACTTCCGTCTCCTTGTCTCTATTTGGCTTGGTCCATCATTTCTTGGACAGTGTGTGTGTGTGTGTGTGTGTGTGTGTGTGTGTGTGTGTGTGTGTGTGTGTGTGTGTGTGTGTGTGTGTGTGTGTGTGTGTGTGTGTGAGAGAGAGAGACTCACCAAGACAGGACGCATGTGGTCGTGGCCCTGCAAGGTTCCTACACCCCCGCTGCCTCTGGGAATCGAGCTCAAGTCTTCAAAAGCGTTATAGACTGCCTGTTTATGATTGGTTGTTTCGTCACCATCTCCATTGAATGCAAAGTATACCAACTACACTGTGAAATTGCCTCGGTGAGCGTAGCCAGAGCACTTTATATTCCTGACCTCACAACGAAAGGTTCGTAGGTTACACAAGAAAGGGAATTGTATTTTTGTACCAGTGGACGAACTGTAGAGAAGAGTGTGGAGATCAGAGCGAAGGCTATTACAGCATTCCAGGTTACCTGGGGTGAGGGCTCAACCTCCCTTCACCTGCTGGCAACTTCTACAGTCTTTCTGCCGAGGGTTCGATCCTTCATATGCCGCTAACATATCTTGACAGTGCCTCACATGTCCACCGTGGCACTGCCTCACTTCACCCGTAATCTGACACTTCAGGTGTTCTCTAACATCCTCCATCCAATGGCGTAGCATCCAGCAGCATCACTGCTTCGTCAGGAGAGTCAACAAGAATCTTAACTCTCCGTACGGATGTTCCATCTTGGTGACGCACTGTCGCTCAGACTCATTATTTAAATACAAATTTGTTGTATATAACATATAAATATTTTAATACGTAAGCTTCATGTCACTGAGTGCTACAAATCATTAAGGTGTCCAATCGCTTCCTTCTAATCTTGTGATCATTGTTCCTATTCTAAGGGTTTTTAAATATTCATCGCGGATTTCCATTCAACCGGATTTCTACTGCAATCAAAGGAAATCTTGAGGCTACTCCTGAAGTTAATCCAAGTTTTACCTATCACCCCCCAACCACTGTGCCCTGGTGAAGGGCACAGTAGTTTTACACCCAACAACCCAAACACCAAATTACGTTATTGCTGATGACGTTGCTGGATGACAGAGTACACTGTGACGTTGTTGCTGGATGACAGCTGCCACAACTGTACAGTTGTATCAACAAGTGATGAAATACCTGATATTGCATCTAGTGATCCTAATATTGCACCTAGTGAACCTAATATGGCGCCTAGTTAATCTATACACTCGCTCAATATAAGAGTCTCAAGCACCAGAACAAGACATGAACCCAGGCCCTCGCTCATGGCATGAACCCAGGCCCTCGCTCATGACATGTCTTATGTCTGGTCCCAATACGCCTCTACCTCTTCCCTAGCAACATTTCACCTGATAGACTCGAGGTGAGATCAGGTGAGGACCGCAGAGAATATTACAGTTTTTGTTCATTTTATGTACATTAAAAGCAATTTATTGCTTTATTCATTACATCTAAATATTTAAAACTTTATTTAGAACATCTGAGCACAGCTGGATGCTGTTTGAATCGTTCGAGCTGTGAAGCAACAGTTGATTAAGGTCAAGACCTTATAACATAATGATCACAAATTTTGTTTTGATGGATAAGATCCATAATTTTCCTTGGCCACGAAGTGGGTTGACCCAGACTCTTGTGGCCACGATATCTTGCCCAACCTCGCCTTCTCCAGGATCTCCAGTACCCTGACCTGCCCCTGGTGTTATAACGCCTCCAGGAGAACGTAGCGCTCGGTGGGCAAAACTGAGTTCTTGGATATCGTGTTCCACTGAAGAGTCAATCATTCATGCTTTTGAGGTTAATATCGCGGTCAAGCGCGCCTTATAAGCTTGGTTTCTTTACCCCGATGGAGGAACGTGCCCGCAAGGTGAACCATGGTTCTATTCCTCGCTCAGGCCAACGCCGTACGAATGTAGTAAATCAAACCATTCCACTATTGGGATCACGTTCCTTTCATCCTCCTTCGTCTACAGTCTCTGAGCCTCTATCGTGCAGAGCTTCACCCTGGGATCACCTGCCATTATTCTTGCCTCGTCTACACCCGGTGGGCCCCCAATCGTGCCTTGGTGCACCCCTGTGATCTATCATTCCTCCTGTCTCGTCTACACCATCGGAGCCTCTATCATGCCTTTTCTGTTGCAGCTGTTTTGGTTCCCCATCAGAGATATTTTCTGTTCTTTTTTCCAAACCCTCAGTCTGTTCTTTTTTCTTCTTGACCCCGTTAAACCATTGTTTACAATGGGTTTTATGTAGTTACGATCTTTCCTGCCTTCCCTTTTCCTAGGCGTGAGGTGGAGGAGTGTTGCATCATCACCTCCTGACCACAACCTCCGCCGGCCAGGGTCTGCAACATTGATTTTGTTAATTAATGTGGCAGAATTGTTGTATTTGGCTCATTATTTTAGACAAAATATTATTATATGTTTTTATTATTTTTATTGATTTACATCATTGTTGCTATTATTTGAATTTTTTGGGGTAATATTTGTGGGTAATCTTTGCGACACTGATTGATGACTTTCTAAGAAGAGAAACGACAGATTCTAAAGTTAAATATTATTATTCCTTACTGTCTTCAACTTGAAAGAATTATGTAACGTTGCCATTGTCGTCACTGAGCCCGTCCCTGCCAGTGAGGAGCCCCAAGGGGCCGGCTATGGCAGTAGGAACCTGATGCCAACATTTGCAACAGCTTTGTGAGGCTACCACAGACGTCTTAGTAATTATCTCTGATCTGAGAGTATACCTGAGAGGTTAGGAGTGGGTCTGAGGTCCGCTGCTGGACCCTGGGGAGGAGGGCAGGGGGGCAGTGAAGCCTTGAATGGTTCACAGTGGTGAAGATAAAGGAAATCGAGGAACATTTATGTGAGAAATTGCGTAAATTAGAGCACTTCGACTGGACTTTGTTTCGACCACTGTGCCTCGACTACACTAGGTCGACAACATTTAGGAAGCACTTCCTCATCAGTCACCACCTGGGGATCACCAATTTATTCCCTGTGCTTGAGAAGCACGTGACTATGCTATCCACTTTGCAAGAAGCACCACACTATTCTCTACGCTTCTTCAACACCCTCTCCTCCGACCACACACACACACACACACACACACACACACACACACACACACACACACACACACACACACACACACACACACACACACACACACACACACACACACACACACACACAACTTGAACATCCATCACAAGTGATGCAACACAAACAGATAACAAAGCAGCGAATAAGAACACAATGGCTCTGGACCGGATCCTAAATCCATGTAGAGAATGCGAACCAAATATTGCCCAAGAAGGCTAAACGAAAACGCCAGCTGAGACCAAAGAGCACTTGGAGAGCATACCGAATTCTATTCACGAAAATGTATTCGTTAATTGGGCCATTTCCGCAGCGGAGCGTTCGTACCCCGCCACAGTGGCCATGGCAAACTAATGTGTAAACGTGACTTTACCAAGCTCCCCCACACACAAATGATGGATGGAATGGGAAAGTGGTTAGTACTGTACCCTTGCCGCAGGCCCATAGAGCGTGGCAGATGCCTGGCAGTACTCACCCAGTCGTTAGAAACCAGATATAGATGGGAAGATTTGAGGCACGCAATGCAGTCATTGTGAACGACGATAGCATCGTCACGCATCTTCAGCTCCCCCTTCCCTCACTGGAGATTTCAACAGGTGACTTCGCTCACGTCAACTGCATCAACAGTGACTGCTAACAGCGCTGTCTATCGACGGATTATACCATCAAAAGGTGCTCCTCTGAACAATTCCACAAGGACCGTGACGAGGATTCGAACCTGCGTCCGGGAGCATCCCAAATCCTCGTCACGGCCCTTGTGGAATTGTTCATTTGATGCATCACGTTATTGTGATCTCTGTGTGTGAGGTGCTCCTCTGTTATCCACTCGACCATTACTGCGCTTACCGTGTCTAACCTAAGTCTTCAACACCAACAGTGCCAAACATGAAATAATTTTAATAAAATTATTCTACACTACCTTATATATTACTCAAACCCACGGGCGAATTTCCCCTGACTGAGCCAGCCTATCATCGCTAGTATTATGAGGATTTCATTGTCACTGACCTGACGAGGATTACCGTTCTCATCTATCACTGCGAGGCTTCTTGTTAAGAAGAAAATGTTAAAGAAAAAATGTTAGGCAATAAATTTAGAGACCTTATGTATACATAAAGCAGGTATATATATATATATATATATATATATATATATATATATATATATATATATATATATATATATATATATATATATATATATATATATATATATATATATATATATATATATATATATATATATATATATATATATATATATATATATATATTCACAATTGTTTATCAGTGTGGACCAGAGAGTTTGCAAGAGACGCGGTGCCTAAGATGTTGCAAATTCATCAACGTGAAGGATAAAAAGATGAGTCCCACAGCATTATTATGTTTTAATTAACATATTTAAAGGTACATCCGCATTTTTGTGCTGCAGCGCTGACGGCCGCCGGAGACAGTCTACGGAATGTACACGCCTCTTGCAGGAGACCAGTTACGCGAGACATGACTGCTGTTGGTGCTATCTAATTCCTGTATTTTAATGTTGTTATGTTTTGACGGAGCCGTCACCTGCAGGATCCCAACGAGACGCACTGGCTATCATCGCTAGTATTATGAGGATTTCATTGTCACTGACCTGACGAGGATTACCGTTCT